GTGCAGCGCATCAACGAGTGGCTGAGTTCCGATGGTGCGTGGAAGCTGGCGAACGCGTGTGACAACATCGGTGTCAACATCTACCCGTACTTCACTCAGGGCCCGCAGCCTGCAGTGGAGAAGCTGCAGGCGCAGTGGCAACAAATGGTGTCCAAGTTCGGCCCCAACAAGCTCCACCTCACGGAGACTGGCTGGCCGACCGCGGGTGAGAGCTACGCTGGAAATGTTCCATCGGTTGGTGCTCTCACGCAGTATTTCTACGACTATGTGTACGGCTGGTCCGCCGACAAGGGTCAGTCGTACTTTTTCATGATGTACGACACTGTTGTGAGCTACACGGGTGCCGAGTGCGAGAAACATTTCGGCCTGTTCGGCACGGACATGAAGCCGAAATTTAGCATCCCGCAGTGTCCGAACCCGAACCAGCAGCGTCGTCTTCGCCGCGACTAAGCACCTAGTGTGTCGTGAGTGATGACGGGACCTTACACCATCACCAGCTCATACAGCAGAATGGCAAGAATTCCAGCACACACGGTTTGTGATACACCGTGTGAACTGACGAAATACATGTACAGGTCCAGCTTTTGTTTATTCATTGTGAGAAGTAGTAATGATTCAATAAACGTAAAGCATTGGGTGTCTTCTTGCCTTGTCGTACACAAAGTGAAGAAGATCTCAAATTCTTAATTAAAGAATGTTTTTTTTCTTAAACTTGATACTTGTAGTCTCAAGTACTACGTAGTATATCACTGCATGTCTAGCTTTTGGTAGTACGACTCCCTTATCAAAGATACCTTACTATTGGGAGTCATACTACCACACCATGCTTGAGTGCTACTTTAAAATCCTAAAAGTATAAATTACTTACAGCCCACAAGATAATAGTACTTAATAATCCAAGCTACTACTACACTTGTATTATAATTCAGTAAGTAATACTAAGCACTGAATAGTATTCCAATGGTATCAAGTATAATAGCCACCATGTATTGTGGCTACTATATTTTAATGATTGGAGTTGAATGGCTCGATGTGTGCTCGTATAAGTAGACACAAGAGTGTTTAGAACTGTCGGCCATATTGTGATCTGCAAGCGACACTGCACTCATCAAGTGCAACGTTACGTCCCATCTCGATGTAGCGCCCACTGGTAATCTTTAGCAGATTAAGGACTGGTGAATTCTTGCTGCGGCATCGCTCTGTCTGATGCCCTAAAACAAAAACATTTTCTTCAGCTTGAACCGACGTAAGACCATAGTATTTTCCAGGCCTGAAGAGTTCTGATTGGCCAGTATTGCATCTTCAGGCAGAAGTTATTATACTCGCCTTTGTCGTTAATACTCATAATTACAATAATTCCAATAAATTTCATCAATTCCGAGAGTGTAAGGGAGGCAACAGTCGAACTCCTTTCACAACTGCGTATGCGTTTATTTAGTTCACCACTTGCCGCCAAAACTAAAGAGGAATGTAGGCTAGGAAGCTAAAGGAGGCTGAGCGCGTAAAGACGTAGGTACACTCAGGGCGCACGCGGGTTGTCGTCGAGTCGTCATCGTGACTGTACAAATCAGTCGGAGCCTCCATTTTGATCCTCGGATCGAATTTCATGTTTTTGACGGCTTCAACCTCCTTCAAACTGGTCCGTAGACTGAGGTCTGGGTCAAATTCGACCGGAACGGGTTGGTCTAGTCCTAGATTCTCAAGAACGGCATCTCGAGGGATAGATTCGCATTCTGGAACCGTAGTTAGCGAGTACCAACTAGGTTTCGACGCTGTTCTTGTCAGTGTTCGGTAATTTTCAATTCCAGGTTGGAGGACTTCACTTGAAACAAAATGCATGTGCTTCTTAAACATTGTGTCTCGCCACCGCACCTTATAGAGAACAACTTTACAATTTATAACTCGCTGGCACACACGCCCCCATAATGTATGCTGCCCCCACTTGCCTATAGACTGAAGCCAGCTTCTTAGTCATTAGCCACTTTTCCCGTGATGGTGAGTACACAACCAAACTGTTAACGTACATCACAGTGTTATTTGGTAAACCCAATAAACGTGAGCCTTCATCAGTCTTTTCTTCTCGTTCATTATCTTCCAAATTGTTATCATCTCCCACTGCAGCTACACTTCGTTTACGCGACATGCCTACAGGCATTCCTGCGCGATCTACACTTGCGACGCCCCCAGTCCAACCGGCTGTGCTATTCCCACGAGTATTACTGACTTCAGTGCCAACTGCAACACTACTGTCATGTGCGTCGCCCTCACTGTCGTCAACACCGACCGGTTCCGCAACACCAGCCAAAGCAGTACCGCAACGATCGTAACCGCCACAACCACGTCCCACTCCAGCTCCACGAAACGCATCGTGTTGATCGTCTTTATCGGCCCTTTGGCTGGCCCTATCTCCACAACCACCACGAAAATCATTCTCAATCTCGTGGACTTCCGATTCTGTCGCATTGCCGGCACTTTCACCTTCTTTTCCACTGCATTGGAGGGACCGAATGCTCTCCCCACGAGAAACATTGATTTCCACGTCGACTGAGAGGTCTCCACGACGGTCATCTCTTTCATCATCGACTCCAGTATCTTTCCGGACTACACCAGCCATAGCATCGACTCCATCACCACAAGGAACAGCGCCCACACCATAGGACGCACGATCGCTAGCATCCACACCAGCAGCATGTGAGTAGGTTC